TGGGGGGAGGGGGCGGGGCGGGGGGGGCGAACACCAGGTGCTTTTTCTTCTTTTTGTCTTTACGCTCATTGTTAGCCATGGGTGCTTTTAAATACAATGAGAGGTTTTGATTACTGCATAAGAATGATATTAAATAAGAGGGGATTTTTACTTCCATTCAGCCTGCTGTGTTCCGTCCCCTGTGTTTAGAAAAGCATTGTCGGGGAAGGTTTGGGAACAGAGTGACGCCTTTCATCCATTTCCAGGTCTCATTAAAGGGTCACATACACTACTGGTCAAAAAGTTTGGAATGATTAGGATTTTTAATATCCTTGAGAGAAGTCTCTTATGCTCACCAAAGCTGCATTTATTTGATCAAAAATGCAGTAAGAACAGTTACATTGTGAAATATTATTACAGTTTAAATATTGTTTTAAATGTAATTTATTCTTGTGATGCAAAGCTGAAATTTCAGCATCATTACTCCAGTCTTCAGTGTCACATGATCCTTCAGAAATCATTCTAATATGCTGATTTGCTGCTCAAGAAACATTTCTTATTATTATGGATTTTAAATCGATGTTTAGTATTGATGTTGAAAAGTATAAATGAAAGGGTTTTGCTGCTTAATATTTATGTGGACACCGTGATACACTACCATTAAAAGAATTTTAAAAATTATAATAATTTTATTTGCATTTAATTGATCAAAAGTGACAGACAAATTATATCGTTGGGGAAAAAACGTTCCATTCATCAAAGAATCCTGAAAAAAAATCAGCATTTTCGCAAAAACATTAAACTGCTTTCAACATAAATTATAAAATTTATATATAAAAAAAATTATAAGAAGAAATTAAAAACAATAAAAAAAAACATTAATAATTGGGCAAATCAGCATATTAGAATTATTCCTGAAGGATCATGTGACACTGAAGGACTGGAGTAGTGATGCTGAAAATTCAGCTTTACATCACAAGAATAAATTACATTTTAAAATATATTAAAAGAGAAAACTTATTTTATTTTTGAATTTTGAATATTTCACTATTAGTTTTATTATATTTTATAATCAAGTAAATGCACCCTTGAGACTTAAAAAAAATATTTTAAAAATCTGAATTATTCCACATTTTTGACCATTACTGTAGGTCACGCTAACAGTGTTCTCTCTTTCTTTTCTTTCACAGGCATACATGAACCGCAGTCCAGTCCACCAGCTCAACGGCTTCGCCACCACAGGAGATGGCAGCTTGATTATTTTCGAGACTGCTTTATAAAAGCCCGTGAAGTGCCTGATGTACACAGCGCACAGCAACGCCCAGCATCCACCTCCTGCGGAGGGCAACGGGCACAAGTTCTGCCTCCTCGCCCAAAACACCTGGCTGAGCGGAGCCAGAGACACGTGTATGCGCTCAACACTCAACGCTCACGCCAGAGAGGACAGAGCTGCAATCACTCCAGAGGACTGCATACACCAGCGTTCTGATTTCTCCAGTATGATGGCGATAGGCTAGAGATTGTGCACCACTGTATATTATGATTGTGCCTTAATGTGTAAGTGTAGTACCAGGACTGCTAGGGGCCAAAGAAATAGCTTGCCTTTGCTCAAATAAAATACTATGCTATGAGCTAGACTAATGTAGTTTTCCCAGTGCCTTTATACTACATGAACCATAATGGCTGCTGATTCTTACAGCAACAGTAAGGTCTTATAAATATTAAGACAATATTGTACTGAGAGGGCTCTAAAAAGTCAGTAAAAATCGTTTTTATTTATTTATTATTATTTGTGATTCTGACACTTCATCTGCCTTAATCACTTTTCAGAGACAGCTAGTAGAAAAAAAAATTGCTGGATAACAATCATTTTGTAATGCTGCAACAACGGCAAAGACATCTTGTGCAATACAAACTTTACTTTTGTGTTTAATGTGGCCGGTAAATGTAACGCTGTCCCTGATTTCCTTGAACTTTTAGAAAAATTATCATTTTTATGAGTATAACACCAGCAGCTTTTCTCTGCTGTTCATTGTCTTGTATTTTTTGAATGCTTCCGTCTTTATGGTTTGATTTTTGATTTATGGAGAGGTCAAAGGAGAGCCAGTTGCAGTACCAGCTACAAAAGTTTTTTGTGAAATGCAGTTTAGCCCAACAGCTTTATTTAAATTAAACAACCAAATTCAGTGTTTTTTCACTTCTTGGTTATTTGTTTGAGGATTAAGTTAATGTTTGTTGTCATATCCCATCTGGGTTTGTGTTCTGTTTAAATTGACAACATGGATTTAGAGAATCAGTGTTTACTGTTCAAAAGTCAAAAGTAATGTTTGTATTATTGCATTTGTTAAAATGTGTATTTGCAATTTTTCTGTCATGTCAGATTCCTGTATTTGGATTAAACCACCTTTTTTTGTGCTACAGATTTTTTTTTTTTTTTTTTTTTTTTTTGTATTTTTTTACAATAAAAAATTTTTTTCTGTTAAAAAAAACAAA